AAAAGGAGAGCAGCACTAGGACAACTCAGGGTATCCCTACATTAGTATTTCAAACGGAACGGGGAGCACGGCTCTGAAGCAGTTTGCCCAGTTCACTCCTACGCACCCTGGCGCGCGCTGTAGGGTTGTACCTGGATTCCTTCTGGGTGAAGTGAGCCAAAAGACTCGCTCCAGGAGCACACTTGACGCGCTCCAACCACAGGTGTACATTTGTTCAAAGCCCCCATCCAGAACCAGTCTTAGGTAGAAGTCCCGAAACGTGTATAATGTGGACACCGAGTCCTCAGCACCTCCCATCTTGCTCTATAAAGAGCTTACTTGATCATGTTGACTTAGCCTCAGAAAGATAGCAACGACCACTGTGGGAGCTCAGACAATTAAGAGATAATATACTAGACATACAACATAAAAAATAGGATATCATTAAGATATGAAAGGTTGAAAGGAAGTGGAGAAGTGAAGTAGGGGTAGGGAAACAAAGCTTCTGTCTGTTATCTTCACAGCACTTTCACACTTGAAAAGAGTACAATGTATGACATAATTAAACAACCACAACAAACTTCCTCTTCTCTATCACTACTATCAATGAACTCTCAGGGAAAACAGCAAAGCAAAGCTTCCTAACAGCACCTCTGTTCACAAAACTGGGCAGATGCTTGGCAGAGGACAATTAATTAAGAGGTGACATCTCAGTTTACTCTATCACATCTTAGAGCTGCTCCTTAACAAAACCCTCCCCTGCAGCAGGTTCTAGATGCCAGCCTGTGGCACTGCTGTTGGATTGCTTCTATTATCGCCCTCTTTTTTTCTCCTCATGCCATTTACCTATCAGCCAAGTAATCTGACTGCAGAACAAAGTACTGAGGAAACAGGAAAAAATGGGCAACTCTGTGGCACCCACCATGTGCCCCTGCAGGTCCGGGTACAGGAGGGAAAGGGACTACACGCGCCACAGACCTGCGGATAGGGGCAGCCATGGCAGAGGTCTGCTTGGTTTAGAAGTACACACAGACTCTGATTTCTCTAACTATGTAAGACACTGATAAGAAGTGGAAGCTAATCGCAGTTCCACAACAGAAGGGAAAGGGGAAAAAAACCCCAACCCAACCCCTATTCCTCATTAAAGCAATTCTTACCACATGCTCCAGTTCCTTTCATAGCTGGGTTTCAGGGGAAGAAAAGACCACTAAAACCTCAGTCCACAAAGCATGCTTCATCTTATCTATAGTGCATTTCAGCGTGCTCATCTGTAGAGCCCTGGCTAAAGCAGGGCCTGAGAAAGGCACCCAAAGCTGCAAAACCCAAACCACCATACCGACGAGACGCAGCAGCCTGTGCCCTCTTGCAATAAATTTAAGTGAGGACAGAACACAGGTCTGAGACAGACCCTGAAAAAAACACTCCTGGCATGGGGTGCTCTTGTGATCTCCTAGAAAATACAAACGAACAAATAAAAATATTTCAGAGCAGTACCATCAGTTTCCACAAGTAAGTTCATGTCATTTTGTGATTAATGATATCGAGTACAGTTACAAATTTAGCAAAAATACTTAATTCCATTTGTTGCCACAACAGGGCCTTCACACCAGATCTGGCTGTAAAGGTAGATGGAAGAGGCAAATATTGTAGGGTTGTTTCTCTACAATCTATTTGATTTATTTTCACCAGAACAGCAAGATTCAGCTTAGAGTAACAGAGAGATGATGTCTGATCCTTTTTTCTTGAAAGCACACTTCCACTGAAACACATCTGTGTCAACAGTTCTCGAAGAAATTAACTGAATTTGTATTTTTAGAAGCTAAATAGAAAGCCAAAGCCCAGGGACACACGTCTGCTTCAGTTCTACGGCTTCCAGCCACCAATGTCACTGTTGATATTTTTCCTCCCTGTAAGCCTCTCATTTCAGCCCCGCTGCCATATGCATGCAGACAACTAGCTCACCAAAAATAAGTATTTGTGTCACATCAAAATAAGCACCTGCCACAGGCGAGCAGCCTGCCGTTACCGCTCCCACCACAGTTTTGCAATACTCTCCCCCCCCAACCCCGGCCTTACTCACTGACCTTTCTACAACCATCCTGGCCTCGTTTTGTATTTGTTGCAACAAATAACTCCTTCCTCCATCACAATGCTGTCCTGTGACTCCTTCAGTTTCTTCCACTGTTTTCCATGCTTTATAAAAATGGGTACATTTATAAACAGAACGAATAAACTCACATAGCACAAAAGGGTTTGCAACCTATTCCGCTCCCATTTTGATTCGTCTGCTCCCCACCTTGGGCTACGAGCACTGCAGATAACCGTACCTCCACGAGATAAAGGCACAGCACTGAAGAGACACAGCTTTTACTGGAGAGGCAATTAAACCCTCAGCATGCACAATCCTCCTGCACACGCTTCTAAGTGCTGCTAGAAAGCAGTCAAAGGTTTCATTTCAAAATGAATACTTCACAGAAAAGTGAAAATCAGACCCTTAGCCAAGCCATAAGAGGAACCGAAGGATCCCTCATTTTCTTTTCTGAATGGTAAATTTGCAGTTTTATCCCCAAATCCTTAGAGCTGCAGAAACAAGAGCATCTGCCAGCTCACCGAACCACCTGAGTAACTTTTTCCAGCCTAACTTCTAACTGTAACAACGTGCTATATCAAACTGCCAAATCTACAGTGCTCATTTCTTTCTGTGAATCCAGCTGTCATTTTTCCCAAATGCCTTCGCAGTCCCAACTCTCCCAATGCCAGAAAAAACTTTTCACAGATATACATAATTTTGCAAAACACATATGCTCTATGTATGGCACATGAAGTCAATTAACAAGTTTACTTACTAAATTAAAGGATGACACACAACACTAAAACAAAAACCTCTTGCAGACAGCAAACACATTAACCTTCTCCCTATGATGTGCTACTCTCACAAGGAGCGCTAAGGAGTTTTGAAGTCTGAGCACACTTTGTGTACCCCAGATGAATTTTCACGCTTATCTCCGTGGCATCTTTTATTCTGTAATTCCCATGATGTTTCTGATCACCAACACATGCAGTCAAACGCAAAATGCGTTCAATTTGCAAGTCAGCAAGCACAAAACATGAACTAGGGAAAATATATTCCCTCATAAAAGAAAAATTTAAAAAAAAGACTAGGCACAAAATAAAAAGCACGTACCTTTTAACTGGTCAGCTACCACGCTCTGACCAACTCGCTCAACCACCTTTCCATCCTCCATTTCATAACGATCATCCAAATACTTCGCAGTAGCTTCCGAAATATGGACTTTTCCAGCCACCCCGAGCTGCTCCATCAGATTGGCCAAATTGACATCATTGGACCACACATCGAACTTGAATCTCCTCATTCCCAAAATGCCACACAGGACTGTCCCGGTATGAACACCGACTCTCATGTTCACCATTTCTTTTTTCTCTTGGCAGAACTGCTCGATGGCTTTAATCATACCTAAGCCCATTTCGATGCAGCAGTAAGCGTGATCTGCCCGAGGCTCTGGGCAGCCAGCTACGCAGTAATAGCAGTCTCCCAAAGTGCTTATCTTCTCGCATTTAGTGTCCTCGCACAGACGGTCAAAACGTCCAAAGAGGTCGTTCAGGAGTCCCACCAGAGCGTGGGCAGATTTATTTGCGCTCATTTTCGTGAAGCCAACAATATCTGCAAATAAAATGCTCACTTGCTCTATCTGCTGCATTTTAAAAGGACGGAATATTATGGGGGTTTTCTGTATGGAGGGCTTCTTCTTCCTGTTTTTGGGGCTTGAAGTGGAATGACGTTTGATGGAGTTTTCACTTTCATCATCCCCCTGCTTCATTAAGTCATCAGCTATTATTCTTGGCATAACAGAATGAATCATCCTCTCTTTCAGGGCTTTTTCCACTTCCAAGTCTTTTCCATGCATGATGGATTGTCCCACTTTCAGGAATGTGCTTCTCGATCTGACTTCGGACATGATAAATAAATGGATACCTATGGCGTGGATGCAGATGTGCAGGAAGGCTTTACTCAACACCTCCCAGTAAACCGCACCAGCTCCGAGAGGTGTAAAACAGTTCTCATCACGGAAGTGATAACCAAAGGTCTCGAAGAGGACCGAGTACGACAGTCCCAGAAACAAGCTTAAATACAAGGGTAAGTGCATCACCGTGTACAGCAACAAGAGCACTTCAATACACATAGAAAAACTGCCTACTTGAGAAAGACAAGTGTCTGTGGGATCTGCCGGAGGAGTCTGATTGGACATGTCACCACTTCCTGAGATAGGCTTCAGAGCCTGGAACTGCGGAGCAAGAGTCAAAGCAAAAACCAGGAGGGTGAGTATCAGCGAAGTCCATACGTAATGGCGGGCGTAAGTCTCAGTGAAAGTGAACACAAAAAACACTACACATACCAAGAGGAAGCACAGAGCCGGCACCATGAAAACAATCTGTTTCTCTCCCATGTGTATGCCGAAGTAGACACCCCAGAGAAGGCAGGCTACGCCGATGTAGAAGAGGGCGTAGCGAAACCTGCGCTGGGTCTGCGGGAAGCACCTCTCCATGCAAGCCTCCTCCAGGTTGTTGGAGTCGAACTTGGGATTCCACCACTTGGAAGAGGCCCTCTCGAAGAGCTGCGGCAGCTTCTTCTGCCGGCGGAGGCCGGGGCCGCTGCCGCCACCTCCCCCCGACTCCCCCGAGCTGCAGCTAGAGGAGATGCTGTACTTGCAGTGCTTGGAAGAGGAGCAGCCCTGGTGCTGCTTGGGGTTGATTTTCACCGTCACGCTGTTGCTGTCCCCGCTGGAGTCGCAGCTCACCTCGGTGCTGTGGTGATGCAGCAGCTGCTGGTGCGGTGGGGAAGCCATGTTGTCAATTCTTCCTGAAGAGCC